CTCGCGGAAGGCAAGGACACCGAGAGAGGGCGGAATGATGGCGAGGATGCAGAGAAAGCGGAGGAGGACGAGGACGAGGACGAGGAGGGGACGGGAGGGCGGAGGAGGCGGAGGAGGACGACGACGAGAAGGCAAGAACGCAACAGCCTCGTCGCTTATGCTTGCCCCCTCCCAAAATAAAAACGCAACAAGAACGACGAGAAGAGCGATGCTGAAATGCCCAACGGGCATACTCCAGATTTCGCAATAAAGGGAGGGGGGTCTCATTTCGGGGGGGGGTCTTTTCCAAGCTATCTTGGAGGGCCTGGGGGGGTCTGGGGACGATGTTTTGGAGGGTTCTCCCACGGGGGAGGTCTGAAATGACGTGTCTTGGAGGGTCCAGACCCCCTCCCTTTTATTACGAAATCTGGAGTACCCTCGGCAGCATAACAGCCTGCCTCGTGCCTGCCGACACCTCGCCCACGCCCCAGAAGACGGACGGCCCCGCACGGAGAGCACCTCCTGTACGTGGGCGCAGCGGGCGGGCGCCGAGGCGCCAGCAATGGGGGGTCGAGGCGTGGCACGTGCGAACGAGCACGCAGGAGTCCGTGACGCGGTACTCCATACTTCGTGATAAAGTAGGGGGGGTTACATGTGGCGGCGGGGTCTGATTTGAGCTGTCTTCAAGGGTTAGGGGGGGTCTGGGCAAAGTGCCGCCCTTACATGGATGGTCTGGCGGGGTCTAAAACGTGTGGTCTGGGAGGATTGTGACCCCCTCCCTTTTGTTACGAAATCTGGAGTAGCCGGAGGTGAACGTTTTATGATTCGGCGTCACGTCATTGGGCGGGAGGAGGGGAGACGGGGGGTCTGACTCCGGACCTCTGCTCAGTGCAGCGGTTTGCAGCAGTGCGTCCCATATGGGGAGAGGCTCCACCTGCTCGAAACGGGCGCAAATAGCAGCAAAGATCTACTCCAGGGGGGGGGGAAGGGGGTGCGAGGGCCCGCGCCCGGACGGCAAAACAATGAATGAGATAGCGAGAACGAGTCCCCCGCTTCCTGCGGCCGTATCTGGATCTCGAGAGCTCTTTCGCGCACGGGCGCACACCAGGGAACGCTCTGGGCGGCGGCGGCCGCCACAGCTCGACGGCAGCGGAGAGTCGCATACCTGCCCCGAGGTCGGATCCCGCCTCCTCCTCCTCCTCCTCCTCCTCATCCTCTTCCTCCTCCTCATCCTCATCCTCATCCTCATCCTCATCCTCATCCTCATCCTCTTCCTCCTCTTCCTCCTCCTCCTCCTCCTCCTCCTCCTCCTCCTCCTCCTCCTCCTCCGCCTCTGCCTCCCTGCCTCCTCCCTCTTCCCTCCTCCCTCCTCCGCGGCCTGCGCGGACCCGCCTCGAAGGGCGGGCCAGGGCGGAGGCCAGGATGGACCCCAGGAGGGGTCTGGGGGGCCGACCTTGAGCGGAGCCTCAGCGGCGCGCCGAGGGGGGAGAGGGAGAGGGGGCGGCGCGGGCGGATCGGCGCAGAAAAAAGCAGCCCAGCTGCGCCCGACGTGGACGCCGCGGTCGAGCAGGTCCGCTGCGAGCCCCTTCTCCTTCTGGCAGCGGCGCCGACCCGCACCGTGAGCACGCGTCCGCAAGCTCGTCGAGCTCGAGGACGCACCCCGCCCCGCGACGGAGGCCCAGCACTCTCACGAGGAGCACGAGGCGCGCGCCTGCGACGCGCGACTCTACCGCTGACATCCTGACCCTCCATCGCCTGCTCGCGGGGGGCACCACCGGCTGCTGTCGCGCCGGCAGGACCAAGTGGCAGCCACCGCCGCTGCCGCTCGAGCCCTCGGCTCACTCCCAGGTCGGGCGTGTCCCCCGACAGGCGGCTTTTGGGCGAAACATATGAGCTGCTCAAAAAAATGCTCCGACATTCTCCCGAGCAAAATCGTGCACAGACTGTTCGTTGACCACTTTTGAAGATCCCTCCTGTGGAGGGATAGACCCGACTCGAGTTCACTCTCCGCGGCAGCCTCCTGCGCGGGCAACCGCCCACCTGCCCGGCGCTCGGCGGGCCGGCGGCGCCGAACAGCCTGCAGGGCGAGCTGCCCAAGCGCAGAGACCGAGGCACTCCTGGAAGCGGATGCGGCAGCCCGCCCGGCTCGCTCTGCGGCCCCCGTCGCCCGCTGCACCTGCACGGCTTCCCCTGGGGCCGCAGACGACCCGAGGAGGAAGAGGAGGAGGAGGAGGAGGGGGAGGAGGGGGAGGAGGGGGAGATGGAGGAGGAGGAGGAGGAGGAGGAGGAGGAGGAGGAGGAGGAAACGGAGGAGGAGAACGGGTAGCCTAAGCCCTTCGGAGAAACCCCCCAGCTGCACCCAGGTCTGCACTCCGCCGCAGGCAACGCAGGCTCCGCGACGAAGCCCGAAACTCGGAGGAGGTCCAGCTGAGACAGCGGCGGCTGTCGCGCCTGGCCCAAGTCTCTGAGGGGGTCCACTTGAGTCTGGAGGTCGGAAAAGGGGTGTGGCATCGAGGGGTGTGGTGCCAATCGTGGAAACGGCGATGCGATCGACGATAGACAACATCACCAGAGTCAGCAGTCGCAACACACCCCTTTACACCACACCACTTTCCCGCGCGGCCCAAAACCGACCAGAGGGCCGAAGGACGAGTCATTGTCGCCGCGGCTGGATCTGCCTCGAGATCCTGGCCCGAGGAGGAGGAGGAGGAGGAGGAGGAGACTGGGCTCCCTGAAAGGCTCGAGGGGTCCATCCTGGCCCGTTCTTCGAGCCGGGCCCGGCCGCGGCGACGAGAGGCCCCCAACAGAAGCGCCGGCAACGCGCAGGGGAGGCCCGCCTCCCTGCCTCGACCGGCCCCCTCTCTGAGCTTCCCCCGCGGAGGCCGCGGCCAAGGCAGGAGCTGACCTCGGGGCGGAGTGGGCCGGCCCCGCCGCCCTCGAGCGGCGGCGGCCGCCGCCGCCGAGAGCGTTTCCTGGCGCGCGCCCGTGCGCTAAGGAGCTGACCCCGGGGCGAGCGGGCCAGCCCCGCTGCCACCAAGCGGCGGCCGCTGCCGCCCGGGACGCCCCCTGGCGAATACCCGCCCGGGGCGCCTCCTGACGGGCCATGGGTGCGCCTGCTGCGCTCGGCGGACTGGCGCACGCGCGCCGAAGGGCCGCCCATCCGCGTGCCGCCGCCAATGACGCGCCGCCTCTGCCTGCTGTTGGCCGGTTCGCGCCGACACTGGACGGCTGCGGAGGGGAACGAGGAGGAGGAGGAGGAGGAGGAGGAGGAGGAAGAAGAGGAAGAGGAAAAGGAGGAGGAGGAGGAGAAGGAGGAGGAGAAGGAGGAGGAGGAGGCGGGTGAGAGGAGGGGGAGGGAGGGATGGAAGGGGGGGAGGGAGGAGGAAGAGAAGGAGGCGTGGAAGGAGGGGGCGGGAAGGGAGGAGGGGGCGGAGGAAGAAGAGGGAAGAGAAGAAGGAGGAGGAAAGGAGGACGAGGAGGAGGAGGAGGCAGCGTGCTGACACAACTGTTGAGTTTTGCGGTGGAGGAGGAAGAGGAGGAAGAGGAGGAGGAAGAGGAGGAAGAGAAGGAGCTGGAGGACGTGTTGGAAAAAAGGGAAGAAGGCAGGACGAAGAGGGAAAAGAGGAGGGTCGAGGTGGAGGAGGGAAGGAAAACCAGGCTCGAGAGGCTCGACCCTGCAGAGAGTACAAAGAAGAAACGAGCGGCCACCAGCGACGACGACGACGACGACGACAACGACGACGAAGACGACGACAACGACGACGATAACGATGACGATGACGATGACGATACCGAATGACAAGGAAGGAGGGAGACGGAGGAGGAGGAACAGGAGGAGGTGAAGAAGGCAGAAAGGACTATAAATCCGCCGATCCAGCGTGTGAGTTTCAAGGAGTCTCAGCTACAGCCTCGAGGCTGAGCTTCAGCCTCTGGGGGGGTCGCCGGGGTGGCTCTGCCGGGGAAGGGGGGGTGGGGGGGGGGGGGGGGGGTGCGAGTTTCCGGCGAACCCCGGGGCCGCTCCGGGGGAGTGGAAGATAGGGGGGGGGGGGGCGCCATGCTCCGCTTTTTCCGGCGCTTTGGAGGAGGGGGGGGGCCCAAGAGACCCCCAAGGGGTTCCAAGAGGGCCCCGAGTCGCCGAAAAATCGCTCCAAGACGCCCGAGATGGCCTCCAGACGGCCCAAGGTGTCTCCAAGACGCCCCAAGAAGCTTCCAAGAGGCCTCCCAAGAGGGCCCCAAGAGGCCAGAATCGTTGATTTTCATTGGTTTTCTCAGGGTTTTTAGCGTTCTTGCCTTTTCGGGCGTCCGACGCTCGAAGACGGCCCAAGAGGCCCCCAAGTCCGTCCCAAGACGGCCCACGATGCTTCCAACACGGCCCAAGAGAGCCCCAAGACGGCCCAAGAGGGCCCCAAGACGGCCCAAGAGGGCCTCTGGACAGCCCAAGAAGGCCCCAAGAGAGCCCCAAGAGGGGCCCAAGAGGGGGACCACGAACCGAAAGAACCGAGCTTTCCGCCCCAAGAGGCCCCCAGGAGGCCCCAAGAGACCCCCAAGGGGCCCCAAGAAGCCCACAAGAGGCCCAAAAGAGGTTCCAAGAGGCCCCAAAACAGCTCCCCAGAGGCCTCCAGACTGCCTCCGGCAGGCCCCCGGTTTCTTCCGCGGCACCGCCCAGGGCGCCACCGGCAGGATGTCCTCCGTCTCATCGTTTTCCTTCAAGTTATCGCCTCTTCCTCATTCTCCTCCTCCTCCTCTGCGACCTCACTCCTATCCCTCAACGATCGCGTCACCGAGTGCCTCTTCTTTGAAACATCCTCGCTCTTCAAACGCACATCCATACACACATGCATACATACCTACATTTAAACACATTTGCATACATAGAAAAACAATCTTCCAGACATACATACTTACATTCACACACATACACACATATTATCATACACACATACAAACATACATACAAACTAAATACATACATACGCGCACAAGCATACATACATACATACGTACCTACACACAGGCACACA